ACACCGCGCGTCAGACATCTATTAAAACGTGGTCTCTTATCGATTAAGCGGATTTATAATCAATTATAACCGAGAACGCGGCTGTGATCGAGTTATCGATTATTATTATTATTATTATTATTATTATTGTGGTCGTAGCCCACTCATCATTCAGCCGTGTTAGCCTCTGTTTAAAACCAATCAAGACTATCGGCCATAGTTATTAGCGTGTCGATTAAGCGCCAACGTGCAACTTACTCGACACGGTGATTTTATCGTTGCGATACGATACAGGCGATAAACGCTACGGCAATTTTCCGATGCCGGAATAAGGACGATCGTTATCCGACTGACAGTTGTTTTTTTTTTTTTTTTTACAAAATCGCGAGGAAACGTATTATTACGCGATATAACGTGCTTCGATCGGTTATTATGAAATCGCTAAATTATACAGATTAAAGTCTCGGTCGTAGACTAGAAGCTTGAGTTGAGCGCGGAGTGGTATAACCGCGGGCGCCGGAAAATAACTCTCTTAACGCGCGCGTGCGCCGAAAGAATGCCGACTGATTAAGCGCGCAGATTATTTCCTATTATTTGCATCTCAAGTCCGACAAGTACTGCTTACGCACGTTCGCTCAGCGGATTGCATTATCGCGATTGCAGACACGAACACCCGTGCGGCACATGCACGCGGCATTCCCGTGATTAGCCGACGAGCAGGCAGACTAATTACCGAAATATCGGGTGCAACACGCGAGTATTACCACGTACGTCAACATTAATGTGTAATAATGGCCAGGATATCGTTGCGCAAACTCCGATACATGTGCGCGAAGCGTGGCAGAGGAGGAGGACGGTAGCCAGGGACGCGAAGGGCGGGGGAGAAATAGAGAAGACAAAGTGACGGATGATTACGTGTCAAAACGCGACATAACGTTTCGCGTCGGGGAATGGGATCGCAGCTGACATGATTGCGATCCGCACCCGTATATAGCCTATACGATCGGCTTGCGACTCGGTATCTTCGCAGCCCCCGTTGATAAACGAGCCTGTTGCAAATTACTTTATCGCGACTGCACTTTCAGCGGGCTCCCTCCGCACCGCTCCGACCTCGATAAACGCCCCCGGCGAGATGCATTATTCAGAAGACGTTATTCGGCTCAATTGTGTACCGACTAACCGGTGAAAATGCTTACCGACGTGATTGACAAATAATCGGATTATTTACAATTACGTAAATCACGATTGTACAGCAGCTGATATTTAAAGTGGAGTTGTAAATATTCATAATTGCTTTTGAAGCCACATAGAAAAACGCAAGACGTAAATAGCAAGTGATCGACAAATCGTAGTAGAGAATATGAAGGTTAAGCACAAAAAAATTAAACAGTAAAGGCCGAAGCACAGACCTTCGCATAATGCTTAAAGCATAGAAAAATTAACCATCAAAGTCCTTCACGGAAAGAAAAAACTCTAATTGGTCAATTCTCTTATGTTTTATGCATTATGCGTTATGCAAAGATTTGCTTCAACCTTAAACGCCGCAGTACAAACTTTTGCACGAGTTTTGCACAACGCATAGTGCATAAGCGATAAATAAATTAATATTTTCAGTTTGTTACTTACGGTATTGTCTTATACTGTAATTAGTCGATTCCTTTATTGCTTACGTCTTGCCTCACGTTTTTCTGCACTATGATTCTAAAGCAATATAAGATTGCGTTAGAACAATTGCTAATCCAAATTGATTTGCTAACTGTTTAAATTTGTGTGTGTGTGCCATAGAGGTTTTAAAGTGTCGTCTGCAATGCGATAATATTGTAGAGTAAACCGTAAGAAAATAATTAATAATCTATTATTTTCTTCACATTTTTGCAGACTATATAATTGGTCAATTTTTTAGGTTTACATCGTTACTCCCATTGTAAACTTTTAAGACTGTCATAGAGATCGTATAAGACAATGATGTGACTGCTGTTTTTTTTTGCGTGCCATACTCTCGTCTGCTGCCAACCGAAGATTGGCACAACACAGAAAATATTATCAATTTCGATACTAATGTAAATTAAATTAAATTTTAATTTAACGTACTTTTTATCTTTTTCTCGAGTTCCAAGAATTAGAAAAAGATAAATAAAGAATAAATTAAATCAAGATCAAATTAGTTAATTTATAATATTTTTTTTGGTAGAAACGGGCATACGTGTTTCTTCAAGATCGATCGGTTGTTACTTTAGTTCTTACGACCAGTAACCGAGCTTGGTTCAAAGCTTGTTGAATAGTTATTGAAATGTGATATTTATCCCGTAAATACAGTGCATACAAAACGAACGAAGGGTGAAACCCCGAAGCGATTCTTCGTTTTCATCGAACCAACCTCGATCGACTCGCCAGGAGCGATTAGCATACGGCCACAGCCGGATGTCGACGATTTTCTTGACGGCGTGCGAACTCTATCGATCTTTAACACCGAGGTCGACACACACATACACACACATCGGGTCGTCTCGAGATCAATGGGCGGCGAGTGCAAACAAAAGCGAACGTCCACGCGCCTGTCTAACGGCAATCAATTACGGAATTGCTGGAGTCAGGCGGTTTTGACTGAGCCGCGCGAGCAATTTATCAGATTAATCGTGGAGGAAGTGATTCCCGGCGGATGATGGAAACCAACGCGGCGAGCGAGCGAGTTCCATATGTCAGGAAGTGACCAGGTGTCGGCGTCCAGGCCGATCGGCCTGGAGAGGCGAAACGCAACGGTGGTAACGTGTGTAACACAGAGGAGGGGGTGGCACAATGGGGACACGCGATATCGAAACCAGCTGTCGATCGCGGATATATCCCGAGTATCGTGTCGTTGCGCTGCAACGTGTCCGCTGCGCGTCCCGTCCGTTGCATTCCCAGGGAGAATGCAGACGAGCGCGCGTTCAAAGGCGATATATCGTCGCGAGACCATCGCCCTTGCCACCGCAATTCCGCCGTCGGTACGCAATTTGCGCGGGTGTTATCTCGCGGCGACGACAACGGAGAGACAAGATAACGCTCGGTGGCGCTTTGAAGTATGAAAAGTGCGATAGTACTGCGTTAATATGACGTTAGAAGTTGTATCTATTGTGGCGTTATGAAATACGTTCCCGATAAAGTGGATGTATTCTGACTAACGATATCATAAACGATAACGGTGCAATGGAGAGGTAAAGCAGATTAAAGATTATATATACCCAGCGAGAGATTATATATATGTATGCCTACATTGAGAAAAGTGTGTTTGGTATTTGTGACTATAATTGCTTGGTAAAATAATTCTGGTTAAAAGCTCCATTTTTACGATCATTATTGTTATAACGTTAATAATAATAATAACCATATATGATAGTTCTCTCAACAAACATGAGAAAATTGTACATCAAATTGTGATAATATATTAAATATTAATATATAATATCAAGATATAAATTGTAAATAAAATAAACATTTTTATCCAAGTAAATGCAACCGCAATTATTGTGGATATAACTATTTCCTTAAATTCACTTACTGTTTATATAGTAACAATAACTAAAAAAAATATGTTAAGAAAAAACTGAAGATTTTTAAGTAGCATGTGTGACTATTATTAGTAACAAAATTGAAGCTATTTGCATAGTTAATAACTATAAATATATAGTCCAAAAATGAGACTATAAATTACAATTAAATTACAGTAATTTCAACTGTTGTATTTCTTTCTCTCAGTGCAGTATACTGTATAGTATATATAATAATAATTGATCCATACGCAGAAGTTTGAAAATTTAACGACCTCAATTACGCGGGATAATGTCTAATCATCCGCGCAATTATATGAACATCTAATTATGATCAATTATGTGATATATTTTACGCCCGTTTAGTTGCGTTTACACTCCAATTTTAGTTAGAGAGAGAGAGAAAGAGAGAGAGAGATAGGCAATATGCACAAATACGTATGATTGATTAGCAGAACGGCAATGTATTTTTCATCGTCGATTCCGCTAATGACTCGCACATAGAAACGTGAGATCCCGTGGCATGCAAAATGCTATAGAACAACGGGGGCTCGGTACAAAACTATAGTTCCAAACGCGTCGAAGTGTGTATAGTGTACGTACGAACGGGTAGATTGAAACTCAATTATTGGTCGTGTTAACGGGCTTGGCACCGCATCATCCATTATTTTCGGATTTTGTTCATGCAGCTAGGCACATAAATTACGCGCCGGAGTTCATCATCAAATATACATATATTATCGCACCGCGTATTTCAGTACAACATTATTCTTCAGTATATAGAAAATCTATATCCCTTTGGTCCCTACTGCTGTCCCCTGTGCAACTACCCGAACACGATACCTGGCGTTAACCGCTTGAGGTTTTGTTTTCAGTACTGTCGCTTATTGCAAAGCACGATCGTTGATTGCGGATGTGATAGTAATCCGAATTACCTAATCTTTGTATCCTACCTTTCTTGCAATTTTCGTAATTTTTTTCTTTCTTTTGTGTATAATCTTCACATTAAGGTAAAATTCCAGCAATGTAAATTAACTGTAATCTTGATTTTAAGAATTGAAAGAAATGAAGGGTAAGTTGAACAGAGATTAAAGTTAATCTACATGAATAGAAAAAAGCATAAGAGAAAGGTTCTTGCGGTACATTGAGAAAAAAATTTATTAAATCTTAATATAATTTTGTTCAATAATACTAACTAGATATTTGCTTGCAATATAAATAACTATTTATTATATTTAAAATATTAAATAAATATTTATTAAAATTTAACCTTTCGCATATAGTAAAATATTAATGGTTAATGGTACTATTTTTATGGCTATTGTTGTCATGTGTTAATAATAATAACTATATTCATATAGACATTCATACACAATATTCTATCCAAATCATTATTTTATGAAATTATAATCACCAGTGCTGATAAATTTTTTTCTCAGTGCATATTTTAAATCATTTTTTTTATCTAACGTTCGTTCACGATCATTCACTTACCTTTTGCGCTTTGCAAGCAGCGGCCAACGGCAGAACATCATGAGGATGTGCGGCGTGACGATCACGAAGACATAGAGCGCATATCGCGATTTTGCAAAGGGCGCAGTAGAGAGTCACCGCTTCACCATTGTGATCGTTGCAGATCGGCGTGCCCTCGGGCCGAGATCCCTTATTTCCACTTGATTGCCAGCTGCCTCTCGGTGGTCCCAGATTGTGGGCTGCCAATGGGCCCCTCTTCGGATGGCAGGACTCTCTGCAGGCGTCGCAGTATAAAACCTAAAAGAGGAATCGCCAAATTTTAAATTCGCGAAATATTACAGAGAAATGTTTAAAATACGAGAGAGAACACACGATATCCACTTTTAAACATTTCAATATTTAGAATATCTGATGGATGTCTAGAGAAAAAATTGTCGCTATAAAAAATACCGATAAAGTTTCTGCAGCGTTCGAAATTTTTTCTCTTCGTTTTTTTTTTTACTGTATTTTTTTGTTAAATAATAAATGCATAGATATACATTTGTCGATAAAATTTTCTTATTTACGTCAAGCGTCAAATAGACTTTATTTTATCGAACTTATACTAAAGTGAGTATAGACTGAATTCGCTAATAAATCATTAATTTCAATATTTTTTTTCTATGAAGCAATTTTTACGATATTATTCGACGTCATCAAATATTCCTCATTTCGTTAGGTATTTCCTTTTCGAAAATAATATCATTTCGATTATCGATAACCAAGATATTGTCGTCGCGCGGAAATGTTGCCGGCAACGAATGAAATTGCAGGCGCTATCGATTCTCTTTTTTTTTTCCACGTACCTAGGAGCGACCGGCGCGACGGACGCGAGTGTAAAATCACAGAAAAAATATCCGCCACTTGTCTCGGAACGCGGTATACCCGAGGGACCGCCACGAGAGGGCCGAAAATGAAATTTAACACTTTGGAGGAAAGCGAGCAAGAGAGGAGGCGAGACGAGGATGCGCGATTGGCGAATGTTGTCGCGCAACGAGATATTTCATGCGACGCGACACTCCGAAGCGCGGTAACTCGATCTTTTCAAACAGAACGCCGAACAATATAAAATCGCTCTCTTTGTCACAGTGTGAATGCAACGTGGCGACGATTTGCGTGAATACATTGTGCAAACAAGTGTTGCGCGAGCCGGAACTGACAATTGTCCAGAAAATATCATTTCCTATGTAGTTCAAAATTAAGAAACATTTGTTTTAATTATATTATAATAAAAATACATAGATTTTAGAGAGACAAGTCAAAATTATCCGTTTTTTAAGTTATAATTTTTAAAATCCAAGATATAATTTTCAGGTCTTATAAACAAATTATCTTAATGATAAATTATGAGAGATAAAATATAATTTATTTTATGGATAGACATATATCATAGAAAGAATAGTTTTGCTAAAATTAGCTTGATATAAATCTAAAAATAATTTTGTTTGGACCATCGAAATAATTATGCCGGAAATTTAAACTGCCTATTAAAATGTGAAAACTTTTTGTAGCATTGCCATCAATATTTAAGTGATCTATATAATATTTTGATAATTTTTTTTCAACAAAATCACTTTGAAATCTGTATCTAGCTAAAAATTTTTAGATACTTCAGAAAAACGTTCGTTCCTGTTAAATTCATAATTTCAAAAATTATATCCAATTTGAGTGATTTTTAATCATTTCTATAAATCGCCACTGTTCTCACTCAATACGTCGTTAATTTAATTAAAACAGTAAAGTTATATAATTTAACTCAAAATATAATTTGACTAAAATGTAATTCATTATTTACTAATAATAAGTGCATACGTTAATGTATGGAAGTTGTTTACTTTGAAACTAACCCCAGAAATGGATTGATTTACACACAAAGTTAATAAACGTATGGAAGTTAAAAGTAACAAAATGTTATTTAATCCAATCTCTTGGGAGATTGGATTACCATTATTCCTTTGATATCTAACAGTGTATTGAGAGTGCGTATTATTTTACATTCGACAAAACGGAGCAGTATATTCGAAACAATGTTGTATTTTATTACATTGCATCCAGGAAGAATTACAATAAAAGCGAGATAGAAATATCTACTCTCATAAACAACCGTGACGTTTGACACATCTGTTCAAATGTTAAAATTAACAGAGAACATCTGTTTAGTCACGAGAGTTAAGTGAACATATTCGTTGCGTCTCCCATACAAGATTTGTCCTTCGTACTTGAAATTTCGACCAACAAAAATTCTCTGTTGTTCGTAGAAGACACGACACACCCATGATACCCGATATTAATATCGATAAAGATATAGACGGCGACTCTTGATAGCCGAGAGCGACTCAAGCACGCTTATATCACGAAGAGAAAAGTTATGAAGTGGACTTCGAGGAAGAACGAGGGGAAGTTAACGAGCCTCTGGATGAGGAAAGCACACAAGAGAAATAAACACGACTGATGCCGCGGTCGTTAAGAATAGTAGCTCTGGGAAACTTTTGCCGTTGCCGATCTTACGACGCAGCAGAAGTTTTCCTAGAGAGTGATCGAATCAGCGCCAGGATAGAAATATCGAAAAGCGAAAATGACAAGAGACGTATTAGGCATTATCCTTTGGCGAAAATAACCTCGCATTCCGCAAAAGCACGTTTTATATTGTGACAAGATGAAATACGCTAAATAAACACGATAACTATCGCACGCATTGATAAAACACGAAAATTAACTTTCTATTAATTTTTTTATCATTATAAATTTGTTTTGTTCTATTGTTTGCGATAAGTTATTACAGATTTTTAAGATTATTATCAAATCGATCATCAATTTAATTATGATACATTTTTAAATGTCAAATTATAATAACTTGAGTTATTTTAAATCATTTTTGGACTGCTCGTATTCAATATGTCGTTAATTCAACTAAAACAGTGAAGTTAAATAATTTATCTCAAGAAAATGTATGAAATTAGATTTCAATTTAGTTCATTATTTACTAAATACATACGTTATTATGGACATTGCTAATTTGAAACTAATCACAGAAATGGATTGATTAATACATGCAGAAGTTAAACATAACAAAATGTTATTTGACTCAAGGGTCACTATTGCTTCTTTGATATCTAACAGTATATTATTTCAGCTTTAGTTTATGATTACATTTCAAGTCTAACTGCAGTAAGCAGCACGTAGTTTATATACGAAGATGTATTTAGAATTTGCATATAAAAATATTTTTAAGCATTAAGGTCTAGTCTCGACGTGACTCTTTTCTTACATATTTGATCAATTTTTCTTTTGTTCAGATTTCAATTAAAAATATCAATTTTCAACATTTTGATAACATCCTATATATTTATTCTTGTGTATATTGTTTTTAACAAAGCCGATGAGTGTCTTAGACTTTTTCCTTTTCGTTTTCTGCTGAAGAGAGGAAAGCTTTCTATAGAATCAAAAGCGGAAAAATGAAAATAATGAAAAGCTCGCACGGATATTACACTTTGTGATCTTCTGTTTGATCCGAAGCTACAGATACTTCTATATACGTATACATTCGTAGAACTACAAGTAAATAAAACTCGTGGAGACGAGAAACAAAGAACAGAATTGATAATTTCATCAAAAGGTGAAATTATCGTGTTCTTTTCACAAAATGATCACATCAATTATGCATTTACATAAAGTAAGCAATTATTAGTTATTATCACTTCTTTAATTTAGCTATAAAAATTTGTGAAACTTTAACGAGTTGCCTAACTTTGAAATGCTAACAGAATTCGTTAAAAGAAATATTCAGTTCTTTAATTACATGAAATACCTTCCTCAAAGTTTCTTAAAAATTAAATAGTAATAATCCACAACTGCAACGTACTGTTATACGGTTTTCTTATCAATCAAAATAAAATAAAATAAATATGACAAAACTTTCGTTTTAGTATAATTTTAAATAAGTCATAATACTTAACGCAAGTTAAATTAAACTGCTCATATGAATAAATCAAATAAAGTAAAGAAACATTAAATGCGGTCAAGGCTATATCCTAGTATCTAATAATACCTTTAAAAGAACATTTAAATGACAAAAATATTGAAAATACTGAAAAACATATAAGACAGTATTTAGCGCGTTTTTACTTAATTTATTTTAAATAGTCGTTTATCTACAGGATGTGTTATTGTGATATTTATTGTCATAAAAGTTAAAAAAAAAACTATTAAATAAAAGTTAGAAATAAAAAATAAATCAAAAAAGATAATAATAATTTCTATCAATAGTCAACTAATAGATAAAATGCTTGATAAAGTATTAAAAGATTAGAAAAAGATTATTAATGATGCAACTAACAAGCAGCTTTAGTAGAATTATATTAGAACTTTTTTATTACACTTTATCCTGCTATTCCTGTAAAAAGTTCTCGGTTAAACGTATATAAGTACATAAGGCGGCGTTCACCTACGAAGGATTAGATCAATATTAATGTGCCAAGAATTCTCCAATTACTCCTCCATCCTAACTTAAATGACTATTTAATCAAAAATTCGTTTTTATGCGCCTTGCCATTTTTATACCTCTCATTCTCCTCATCTTATCATTTAATCGTCAAATCCCTAATCCGTAATCCTGCGCTAATCAGACGCGTTTCAGGGAAAATCACGCTTGCGGTGCGACAACCTGCTGTATCACTTTACATGTGTTTTACCGTTCCTCGCACCCTCGTTTATCAATTCCGACCATATGCCCGTTTCTACAATCAGGATTCTCAAGCGCTAACCTCGCACTGCTCGCACGCGACAGTCGCGTCGCGCGGCTCTCCCTCGCACATCTGGCACTGCAGCCGTGAGTTCCGCGATTCCTGGTACTTGTCGACGATGTGCTGCATCGCACGGTACTTGGGTAGATTGTGGGCGCCGCCCTCGTCAAAGTACACGGTCTTCTGACAGACCGGGCATGAGAGACAGAGAGTACCACCGGACGGCGGGAAACCACCGTTTCCCGGAGTGCCGACGTAGCTGCCTGGCCGCGAGCTGGTGGACGTGCTGCTGCAAACCACGCCGGAGTCGGTCTCCGATAGGATCGACAATTTGTCGGCTTCCTGATCGGAGCCTGGTGCGTTGGATGAGTCGGCGGTGGACTCCGGCGGCGAGTCCGGCGGTGCCTGCAAATTTACCGCACAGGCCAGGCATAGCGCGTGCCAGCAAGGCAACAGCACCGGCTCCACGAACAACTCCTTGCAGCTGGGACATCGTAGCTCGTCCTCCATCGCGAATGTACCGGCGGTACGTCGTTTGCCGATCGTCCTGGTGTCCGTGAGTTGTTCCTCGTGGATCTTTTCGAGCCGCGGCAGCTCGCTCGATCGCCTCGTTCGGGTCTGCAGGATTCCTTCAGGATGCCGAACAACGTGGCCGATGCAGTCGAAGGTCACCGTTGATCTCCTTTCACCGTCGCGTTCGAACGCACTGCACGTTATTTCTAATACGATAAAACGCGATTTACGGAGGTATTCAAAATTCGTCGCTGCACTTTCTCGCAGAATATTCCGATTCGCTGAGAAAAATGGCACTCGAAGATTTCTTCGAAAAAAAGGTCTATCGGAAAGCGGTACTCATAAACTGTGACGCTTTCAAACGGTCGTGTAAAAACGATTGTAAAAAAATAGTCCAACACAATAAGAGCTTGAGTCTTACAGATGTTCTTCAAAAAGATTCTTGTGGGACATAAATCGGATAGCCTTTACTTTCAATCGGCATGAAAAGACTTTCAAGCAGGCCAAAGGAAAAACTCAACTGTCGCTTATATTAGCTCGATCTCGACTCAGAGATCGCACATGTTTCCTACTTTCATCGTGCCGCAAGTATAGATTCACAATTTGAATCCCACATTCGCACGCGGAACACGCGCGACGGATTCGTATCGATCGCGCTGGAAAAAAAATCCCTCGGTCCGCTCACCGATGCTCTCGTTGACGATGCATCGCGCAACAGAATGCACTTTACGATACAATGGACAGATTGAAATCTCTTCCACGTTTCAGTGAGGACGTGTCACCTGTCGACCGCGCGCATCGCGGGCTTTTTGCATTTTCGGAAGAAGCGCCCGGCGTTCTATGTCGACGCGTTTTCTCTCACGTGCGACGCGATCCCGACGTTGAAATCACCGAGACTCGATTGTCGATCCCGCTGGTCGATCGTTAGGCTTAGGTACGGTATGCAATTCCACTCACGTTGATATCTGACGTGTGTTTAACACACGTACATACACACGCGACGCGCGCGTCTTGGCTCGGACTCGTGAGCACGGAGAACCACACTCGGCAGAGACCAGCAACGCGCAGCCTACAAGCCGTCACCGGGTTGACTGACTCCCGGCACCGAGTCAAAGAACCGTCGCGCACCACGGCCACGCACACTCAGGAGCGTGATCGTAAAGGGGAACGAAAGGTGTCGTACGAAGACAGACACCTTTCCTAAACTTCTTTTAACTACTTAGATATTAAAGGAGCGATGGTAACCCAATTTCTCTCTAAATATTTTATTATTTTTAACTTCTATGTGTGTGAAAATATAAGTCAATCCATTTCTGTAGTTATAGTTTCAAAGTAGTCTATATTAATATATATATATATATATACACACACACACACTTGGTAAATAATAAACTAAATTTTAGTTGAATTTAATACATTTTCTTGAGTTACATTGTTTAACTTCATTGTTTTAATTAAATTAATGATATATTGAGTAGAAACAGTGGCGATCAATGGAAATAATTAAAAATAACTCAAATTGAGTATATAATTTTTGACATTAAGAATTTAACTGGATAAAGTGTTATTTGTTTATATACGATCCAATTAATTGGCCGATGCGGCTAGAACTCCATTACGCAAGAGTCTGTACTCCTTTTATTTCAATTTTTAAAAACTTTTTCGTATCAGTACAACCGTATTTAAAAAACTCCCGTCCATTCTAGATGATATGTTAAAAAAAAAGCAAATTTTTAAACACCGTATATAGAGATGGAAAAAATTTTGTATTAATATACAAACGTTAGAGATCTGATTAGAAATATTAATTCAAGAACAGTATTATATTCAATTCTATCAATGTAAAATATGTAAATTAACTTTAATTTCGATTCAATTTACTTTTTATCTTTTACTAATGTTTAAAAGGTAAAAATTAAATGGAGCAAAATAAATTATACCAATTTAGTTAGTTAATCTGCTTTAATAAAAATTTGACGTTTGTGAAACTTGTTTTATTAAAAAAAAGAGCATAACCTATAAATTTCGTGGATTAAAACTCTTTATGACATAAAGCACTAAAAGTCTTCCAACAATACTGCAACGACATTGCAATAACATTGCAAATATTGCAACAATGTTGTTACAAATTTCTGTGCGTGTGGAAAGAGACTGAATCGACAAGATTATTTCCAGTTCAGTTAATGCTGTTAATAATTTTTTCTATAAGTAGGGAGAAATATATTTCATGCAAGTTTACTTTGTGAATGTACTCTTAAAATAGTATCTGGAACTAATAATATATTATCGATTATTGGCACTCGGGAGTATTTTTAAACAGGAACAAGGTTTGTAAAATATATAAAATATGTATCGTATATATGTGTATATAATTTTTTTAACAGGTTTCTTAAAAAAAAATATTCTTATTTTGCTTTCAACCCCAACAGGAATCCATTTCTTTGCAACGTAAGTCTTATTTTCGTATAAACTATGTTAGGTACATTGTGAAATTACTCGCCATATGGAACCGGTTTCACGCTCTGAGCGCATATTTCAGGGACGCGCCTACATAAGGCACTTAATCGAGGCCACTCGAGAATCGAGCACGCGGACTTCGTTTAAAGCAAATGTATACATGCCCGGAAACATTTATTGTATAATTATATCCATATCTGATACTGAAACGTATTAATTAAATTTGTAATTATTTTAGATACGTATTTTTCTTCATAGGAGAGAGAAATGAGCGACTGTACTTATATATTATTAATCTTTATGTATATCTTAAGTATCTTTGAACTACTTCAGTATTTAATTACGAAAAGTTTGGATTGCGAATACTCATTATAAAGGAACCCGTCGTTTCTTTCGGCTGAAAGAGGAAATGGTTATTTGAATAAAAGTTACGACATTCTCACTTCAACGAAGACGTTGCTGTTGAAATCATCTTAGTAAGGATGAAGCACTCGCGGTATATATCTGCAATAACTTCTTACAGGCCGCAAGTAACTTTGCGACAATACCTTCTCGCGAGACGTCGCGACAGAAGTATCTCGCTCTGACGTACGAGATAATAAAGCGGAAAGACAGCCAGTTTCTCTGTCACCGCGAGATGCGTGAGAGAATTCCGGTTCTCCGGAGGGGAAAGGAACGGGACAATGGACAGAGGGTTGGAAAGGGCAGGGATCCTAGATCCTCGATATAATACCGCAGCCAGGTGCGACATGATTCGTATGCGGTGTACAGCCAGTTGCGTGCAATCATTCGTATTTACGCTGCTTTTCGGCTAAAACGTCTCTTTGTAATGCCCGTTTCTGCCAATATAGATTAACTTTAAACAGGGCTGGGCGTGTATTTGAAATACAGTATTTGTAATACACAAGTATATTTTGTATTTCAGCGGAGCACATATACATAAAAGTATTATGTACACTGAAAAAAAAATGCATGTAATTTTACATGGAAATTACATGTTCATAACCGGAAAATTACCTAAATATGACTGAAAATTACCTTTTTTAGATTTTTTTAAAGTAAAAATAATGGTCTTATAGTGATAACTTTAAAAATTATTCACTACAAAATCATGAACTTAGTATTAACCATATATATAGCTAGAAAAATACAATTTTTACTATAATATGAGATACTTAGCTAATTACGGTTAAAGATTGATGTTTCAAATATATTACACATTACTATGTATTTATTAAATAAATTCATTTCATGACTGTGCAGCGACAACTTTCAGACTTTCAACACAATCAATCCGAAACGTTAATAAACCCCTCTAAATTAAATTAGCAAATCTGTAAAAAATTTGTTGCAAAAAATATTACAATTTTTACATTATCATCAGGTTAAGACCTGACCATAAGTTAACTAGAAAATGAAAAATCGCCTTAATATCAAACCAAACGGATTCGCTGTTCATTCGCGTAGGTGAACGACCCCAGGGAGATCCCGCGGGTGAACTTCCGTGAAACTCTATCGTAAGCTTCGCTCGCGTAATGCACCCTTCCCCGGCCCATCCGCGAAACGGGAATAACGAAACGTACCTCTAATATCGTGAAACCACACCACAGATCACCACCGCATCGAAATTGTTTACCGGGCACCATGCCAGCGCTATTAAGCGATCGTTTATTTATATCTCCGCTCGACCACGCGCGGGCGTGCCTTGAAAATAATGCTCCTGATACTACGAGCGTACACGGATTATAGATGGTGAGATTAAGGGCGTTGCTTAGAAAGTGCACGAGTTGCATTTTAGAACGATGAAATATTAATGCGCGCGCGATACAAATAATGGCTGGCTTTGTACATGGCTTGTTTTTCTCCCGTCACGTGTTCGAAGTCTACAGATTCATTTCTAGATAAGTTGGTGTTATCGATTTTTCTTTAATGAAGCTAGTTGGTCGTTAATAATCCTCAAGGCACAGGCAATTGAAGTCGGAGGATTTTTTTTCTAACGAATCAAACCGTTTGCGTAGCAAAATATGTTGCAGACGCACGTGTCTTTAATCTTATAGAGTCGACGTCAAAACACAGTTATACTGACGCTAGGTTTATGAAATCCATTTAATTTGTGATTAAAAGGCACTAACTAATTTTAAAGAAATAAAATGATGTAATTTGTATAAAAGAAAATGAATAAGTTTATTTTAATAATAATTTTAATAATAATATTTAATTTATTTGCAGATAAAGAATATATACTATTAAATGGAAATGGACCGAGAAAAAGTTTCAATAAGTGAAGAGAATCATATTCGAATGAAGGAGATTTATAATAGATTCAAATCCCGGCTGAAATGATATTTTTTGCAATAAATTATTATATTAATAAATATTAAATTACTTACATCAATTTAATGAGTGATACGTACTCCGGCTTTAATCTAGAATTGTGTTTTAAGATAAACAATCAACGCATAGTTTGTTTGAATTAAAAATTGTAAAAATTTACATATATCTCTTTACATTATTACTACTATCAGTTATAAAAATCCGCCTTGATTGAATATAGCCTTTTTCTCTATTTAAACATTTCTCTGTTTATTTTTAGTTAATAT